TTTTATTTTATCTGTTGATTAGGGCCGGAGGAAAGTATTGTTGGGTTGGTTTCCTACCTGCGTGTTCCCTCCCACCCACCCTTTGCATGCATTTTCCGGGTTGGTACAGTGACACGTCAACAGTACCACATCAACAATGACACGTCAGACACAGTGCCACGTCAGCAGTGCCACGTCAGCAGTGCCACGTGAGCAGTGCCTCATCAGCAGTGCCACATCAGACACAGTGCCACGTCAGCAGTGCCACATCAGCAGTGCCACGTCAGCAGTGCCATGTCAGCAGTGCCATGTCAGACACAGTGCCATGTCAGACAGTGCCACGTCAGCAGTGCCACATCAGACAGTGCCACGTCAGCAGTGCCCCGCCACCATGACGGGCGCAGCTCTGGGCATGCCAGGCCAACTGGCCAACGAGWCCATTGCCGACTACAAAAAGCGTTTCCAGGCTCAGCTCGCTGCAATCGAGGCTGAGGAACAACGCCAGCTGGCAGCCAAGGCTGCCCAGCTACAGGCTGAAGAAGCGGCAACAGCAGAGAAGCTGCGGCTACAGGCCAAAGCAGACCGAGATACCCAGGCTCGCCGAAAGGAAGCCCAGGATCTGCTGCTGCGGCACAAAGCCAAGAGCATCGACAGACTCAAGTACTGGCACTTTGAACCGAACGGCAACGAGCCAACACCGGAAGAGCAGCATAAGGAGTTCTTGGCCAAGCTCGTGGCCAGGCTGGTTTACACATGTAACCACCTGCAGTCCGAGCTGGCAAACCCTTCAGCGGGCTGTGCGGAACCATAAGACTCAGCATGAGGATGCCACACGGGCACTGGACGCCCGTGTACTGGACCTGGAACAGGCTGTACCAGGACCAGCTGCTGGGGCTTCCAGCAGTGCATCCTCTAGCCGCCAACTGGAGGAACGCGTTGACCACGTAGCGGCAATGCTAGGAGACATAAGTGCCTTCACAGAGCCGGCCACCATCAGCCAGCGGTTCGAGTTGCTGGACACCAAGATCAGTCAGCAACAGCAGACCGACCAGAGTCACAACAACAGCTCGGCGAGGCCATACAAGATGCCGACGTTCCGGATCGAGAAATTTGATGACTACACACATCAAGACCCAGTCGCCTGGTGGCAAGGATTTACAACGGAGTTGGGGATCCACGAGGTCCCTGACCATCTGTTCATCAGTGCTCTGTTCATCAACACCAAGGGAGGATGTCAGATCTGGCTCAGCCACATGGCAACCATCCACGGCGTCCAGGTTTCAGACCTGCACAAGAAGGTCACCTGGGAGGATATGACAAAGGAATGGAAGAAGCGGTTCATAGTGGATGACGCACCCGCGCTCGCCATCAACCGCATCTTCGCGATGGCTTAATGGAGCACACCGACACGTGACTGGCTCACGGATTGGCAGAAGATTGTGGCCACGCCCGATCTGGACTTGCCATTTCCGCATCTACGCCGTGAGTTCTACAACAGGTCATGCGCCGCTCTCAGCCTCGCACTGGGTGATCGCGAGCAGTACAACACTTTCGCAGAGATCATCAACAAGGCGAGAGAGATCATCAAGACCAACAGGTCAGCTGCACACGAGAAATCAACATGGCAGCCGACCTATGTGGAAAAGGCACGAACTGGTCCGCGACAGCAGCAGTTCGCTGCAGTCCAATCGGACAGTGGAGAAGACCCAGCAGCCACTCCAGCATCACGTGAGGGAGATCAGGTGGCTGCTGTCCAGCCGCGAAGCAACAAGCCCCGAGTGAACGGGAAGGCAAAACCAGCATCGCAGGCCGGAAACGGACAGCCAGCACCACCATGGGTCAAGTTCGGCTTGACCGAGGCCAAGTACAAGTACCGCAACCGTTACGGCTGCTGTTACTGGTGCAACAGCACCAAGCACAAGACCTCCATTTGCCAAGATCAGGCCAAGGAGGATGTGCGGCCTCGTCTTAACTCGGGAAACTGAGTTGCGCAGGAGGTGAGGCGACTCCACCCCTCATTCCACCAGATTCGGCTGCCTTGCTAGCGGCCTCCTACACATCTGGGGAGGATGCGCATGTCGCAAGTCCTCGATACACTTACGAGGATTATGTTGTCCACTTGGTCCCACCGCTGGACCAACCGCTCCATGTGCAACAATCCACCGCATGCACGGTTTCATCACCATCGGCAACCGATTCGGCAGCTTCGCCGCTATCTATCGTCGGGGATTCATCGTCATGGTCAAGACTTGAGGTGCTCGACCCACTGACGTTCACGGACTTCCAGTGGATGCCCGTTCCCCCGACCGGACGATTGTCGAAACTGCATTGCAATGTGCTCATGGCACCACTGCGAGATTACTTGCACACTGCAGTACCAGCTCCGTTGATGGACATCGGAGTAGAGGTTGCCGACCTTCACGCTTACATTGCGAAGATCGACCGCGAGTTCAAGACGCAACGGTACGACGACATCGACGCACCATTGCTATATGTACGCATTCAGATCGGAGAGGCGACCTGCAACGCCTTGATCGATTGGGGATCATCTCAAAACTACATCAGCCAGGACTTCATGGTGCGCGCCGGCCTTGGCCCACGTGTCCGGAGGAAGTCCCAGCCTACGCAAGTCACTTTGGCAGACGGTCATACGCACAAGTCCATCGACCGGTGCATTGACGCCGTCCCCGTGTACTTCGCCCCTTACGCAAGTGAGGCGGTGTCCTTTGATATCCTGGACACCAAATTTGATATGATCTTGGGCATGTCATGGCTGCGAAGCGAGGATCACCCGGTGAACTTCTTCCACCGCACCGTTCACATTCGCGATCGGAACGGAGTATTAGTTCCATGCACGGTACCTCTTCCTCATCCTTCGATCAGCTGCCACGTGGTATCCGCCGCAAGCATGCGAGCATCCATCATCAGAGACGACATCGAGGAGATGGGGGTGTGTTTTCTCCACGCCCTCCCGC